AATAATAACATGTACATAGCATAACATATGTACATCCAATCAGAATAACGTCAATTACTCATGTTAAACATGGTGTGCCAGACAACTGTTAATAAAATTGCTAACTGGTAGCCAATATACAATACTTATACATATATACTTATACTTAATGTAGATCTGATATCGGGAAAATATATATTCTTTTATACAATATATAAAATTTCCCAAACAGTTTTATATTCACATTATACTCCTAAGCTCCCATTAAAATGTTTGCTGGCATATTCTATTTGTGCCTAAACGAATTGATTTGTACGCCACTGTGAGTACGCGTGTGTGTGTGGAAGTGTGCATGAGGGCTTGCCAGTATGCGTGTGTGTGTGTGTGAGGGGCGCGCGTACGTGCGAACTTTCTGTGCTCGCCAAAGCCAGACATGGTCACGCCGTCTGTCCGACTGTCGGTGGCGGCACGTCGACTGGCTGACATTTGCCGCATTTGCCAACGCCCAACCGCCCACAACTGGCAACATGCCGCCGCCGTCGTCGTTAAAGCTTTGCTGTCGCTGTAGTAGTATGTATGTGAGCATGTATTCGTGTATGTGTGTATGGCAACCATTACCACAACCACCATTAACGTGCCAGGCAGTCAGCCAGGCGTTGCTGTTGCCGCCGTTGCCACTGTTGTTGCTTTTGCTTGTTCTTGTTTTTATTGTTGGTTGACTCCAATCTGCTTTGGTTGCTGCGCCACACGACGCTCGCAATGGCAATGGCGATGGCTATGGCGATGGCTGTGGCTGTGGCGAGCGTCAGGCCAAGCCATTCAGTCGGCAAATTTTGTACGAACGATGCGCACACGGCGGGCGTCATAAGCGACGGCGAGCCAAGTAAAAACGAAAAGTCGAAGTACCTTTCTACCGTTACGCTTACCGTTAGCTTCTGTGTACTGTATATTCTATGCTGTTCGAGTCGCGAGCTGTGTGCAGTTCGTTTCGGTTGTTAGTGCTCGGTTAACGCTCGGCCAGTGCGGACGTCTTGTGTCGCATACCAAAAATATATATTAACGGCATTTTCGTCCCATCTTGCGGTACTCGAACGTCTAACAAGCCGTTCGCAAAAAAAGACGTAATTTTTGTGCTCTGCTTTGTGTTAAACCCAACGGCAAAACCGAGAAAAAATAAACTAAGTTACTACAATTAAATTATTGAAAGTTTGCGCGTGTGAGGAATTCATTAAGAGTTCGGCAAAAATGACAAAATGACAGCAAAACGTGATAAGGATTACACCAAAAATAAATCAACAGCGGGTAAACATATTTTTCAAGTTCCCAATTCAAGTTGAGTCAAAAACTTTCGAAATTTGATTAACAAGAGAACAAAATTCGAATAACATTTAGAAAAACTGTTTAAAATATAAAAACTAAAATTTTGAAACACCAAAAAGTTTTGTAAAAGATTTTTTTAAGCCCAAAAACTTAAATACGAAACAGATAAGAAACTGTTTAAAAAATACTTGGCCAAAATTCTCTGATTTTTCAATATATTAATTTAATAATGGTATTAATATCAACAATGGACTGTAAAATTAAAGGCATCTGATTATCTTTATATCACAAAGTATTGCATACTTTGCACATAAAAATTTAAAAATTTAAAAGTGTATCCTGCTCTTAAGTTTTTTTTTAACTAAAAAATAAAATTAGAAAATATGAACCTATATGATCTACGCGATATAAATATTTTAATTAAAATTCGTATCTATTATTCAAAATAATTTATAGTTTAAACAACATATTTTGAATGCTATTAAATTAAAGATAATTAATAGTAGAAAGTTTCTTGTTTCTATTTTTGAAATATTATAAATGAATTCTTATAAATAACAAAAATATATTGTTAAATATATTTATTTGAATTAATTCCCAAAATACCATATAGACCTACTCAAATTAAAGATATATTTTCAAAAAATATATAAAAAATTTTATTATGAAGTATATATATTATAAAGTATATTGTTAAGAGACATGCTAGAGGCATTTATAACAATTTCTTATAAAAAAATAATATATAATATATATTATATATAAAAATATATACATTTGTATATATATTTTATTTTTTATATATAATATATAATTTTGTATGAAAAACTAGACTAGAAAAATACATCTTAAATAATATATGATATGACTGACCAAAATTTTTAAAAAATATTATTAGGCCTCGGATTCTCCGCCTCCAGCTCAACCAATGGCAGCGGCATCAAATCGATTGGTTTGGTGAGCTCCTCACAAAATGTAACCTCGTCGCAGGACATTAGCAAACGTACGAATAAACCACTCATGGAGAAGCGTCGACGTGCCCGCATCAACCAAAGCCTGGCCATATTGAAGGCCCTCATCTTGGAGTCCACCAAGCATCAGAATGCCAAGAATGGTGATGGTCAGGCCAAGCATACGAAACTGGAGAAGGCAGACATACTGGAGCTTACGGTTCGTCACTTTCAGCGGCATCGCAATCTGGACGATCCAGGTAGGTTTGGCTTCTAGCCACCGCTTTTGGCCATGGTTTAAACTTCGACTCTTGCCTTCGCCAGCAGCTGTGAACAAATACCGCGCCGGCTATACGGACTGTGCTCGTGAGGTGGCCCGTTATTTGGCCACACCGGAGCCGCCACCTATGGGTAACATGCCAACGCTGGCGGAGCCGGGCTCCAAGGCGCGGCTGTTGCGACACTTGGATCAATGCATAGCGGAGATCGATGTCGAGATATGCCCGCACTCAGCGACCGCCGCATTTGCGGAGAGTCCGAACAGCAGCGGCATTTGCTTTGATAACAAGAAGACGCCGGCACAGCAAGCGGAGGAGCATTCACTGGACTACAGCAGTCAGGACTCGAATCCCTTGGACTACAGCAAAGGTCTAAAACTGGGCGAAAATCCCTTGCTAAGTGATCAGCGTGCAACGCAGCAGGATGAGAACAACAATCGTGGTCAACAGGCGCCGCCAGTGCAAACGCAGCTACCAATACAGCAGCAGCAGCAACAACAACAGCAGCAGCAACAGTTGCAACTGCAACAACAACAACAACAGCAGCAGCAGCATCAGCAACAGTCGCCGCCAAGCGGCGCAGTCATTGAGCTGGGCTACGAGCCGGATGTCAACAAAGTGGTCTGCGTCAATGTGCTGGAGCAGTACAAGCAACAGCTGAAGGCGCACACACAGGTGGAGGGCAGCGCTGCACCCAATGGTGTTCTGGTGCTGCCGCCGCATTACGTGCAGCTAGCCGCTGCCCTAGGCCTGAGCGCCCAACCCATGGTGGATCCGATAGCCACACGCACGGATTTCGAGCGTCTGATTGAGCTGCAGCGTATGCAACCGCATCTGGCTGGCAAATTGAGTCCAAATTTTGCGGGCAGCTTGGAGGCAGCACATGTGGCTGCCGCGGCAGCTGCCGCCTATGCCAATAGCATGGCCAACACCACAAATGTGGCAGCGGCAGCGGCTGCCACAGCCATGTTAAATGAACGACCCGCCTCTGTGGCCTCCTCCTCGGCCGCTGCCTCGGTCAGTTCTGGTGTCTCTGAACTGAAGTCAGCGCCGGCCACGCAGCAATCGTCGCCACGCTCCGAAAGCGGAATCGGTTCCAATGAGAATGAAACACTCGATGCCAGTCCGCAGACAAGCAGCGCAGCCAGGCAGGCGCTGCGTATGCGACAGGAGGAGGAGTATCGGGCACAACAGGTGGGCGGCGGCGGCCAGCAGGTCATCGATGAGAGCATGTGGCGGCCCTGGTAGAATACAGCGGCCTTGTGTACAGATTCGATTGATTTAGATTTTACTAAGCATATAGATGTGTATATAGCTATCGGGGCAGCGAACAGAAACGGTTGAATTTCGGAATTTCATGTCTATTGCTAGCTAAGGCTGAAAACAAACATATTTTTACTTAAGATATGTTTAAACAAAACAAATTAAGACTTCTCAAGGAATTTCCCTTTTGTATATCTAATATTGATATTCAAATATTTTCAAATTATGCCTATATGTTCCCATAGACATGCTAACGCCCCGTCTTCCAAGCCGTTTTCAAGGTGTGTTTGTGCAGCCCTGATAAATATATATAATTAAATATATATATATATATATATATATATATATATATAAATGTATATGTATGTAGACTGCGCAAATTTGTTGCTTTGTTATGGATAATACGATGTTTTCTTTTCGCTCCAAATATTTAAGAGAAACCCCAAAGAAAACATTCCCTTCTATTGTTAAGCTCCTCCTGCTCGTACATGGAAATTCAAACACGAGATGCGAATTTTTAAATGCATTTTTCACGTGTGCCAATGCTAAAAAAGACTCTATAAGTAGAAAAGTAAAACCAAATAACAAAAAAGGAAAATTGAAAAAAAAAACTACCCGAACTTAATTGTAAAATTCCAAAAGTAAATTATGTTTTGTTCAAATACCTTGCGTAAAATGTATCAAATACTGAAATTAAAAAACAAAGCTACAGTAATGTTAAAACTATAATGGAAAAAGTGTTTTATTTGAAATGAACAACGATTGAGGGACCTTTGCTAGAGCAGCGGCTTACGAAGTTTAACCAAGCCGAAACTTCACACAAAACTAATATACTCTTTTGACATGGTTAACAGTGTATATTAAGCTTAGAATTCTTCACTCGTCAACAATTCATACATTAGATCCATATAGGGGATACATTTTGCAGGTTAATATAAGATCTGACAAATATTTTATATATATTAACTTATTTATATATAAATATATTTATTTTTTTTTTAGAAAGGTACACCACTGAAATATATATATATATATATATATATATATATATATATATATATATATATATATATATATATATATTATATATATACTTATTACAATTTTGTGCATTTCAATAAACAAACATAATTGAATTGAATAAATAATAGTAGAATATAAATATGCATATACATAAGTGTATATTCAGATACACTAAAAACATTAAAAATATTACGTTGGACTTACGAAGGGGGGACAAAACTATTTTGATTTCATTGTAGTTAGTGATTTTCGCGGCGCGGATTGGCGCTGACGCGCCAGGAATGTTTGACCCGATCCCATTAATAAAGCTAATTTTGATTCAACTGCATCGCGATGAGCATTAACGCCCAGTCTATAATAGGCGCTTGCCATTAGCTGCTCCTCCATGTTGCTCATTTTAGTTTTTGACTCCTCCTCAATGACATCGATGCTCTTCTCCAAAATGTTTGCCTCCAAGCCTAAAAAAGTGTTAGAGTAATATTAGCAACAGATATACAGACATATAGCTACAAAAAATATCTAAACACACCACTAGCTATGCGCGGATCGATGGTCTTGATTACTTCCTTAGCTTTCTCAACGCATTTGCGATACTTGACTTCATAGGCCATCAACTCCTGCTCCCGTGCGCTCAAACTTGATTCCAACTGCGTGATTTTGCACTGCATTGTGGAGTTTTGTGTTCTTGATTCCTCGATTTGTAGCGCTACAAAAGGAGAGAAAAACTTATTAATAAAAGATTTATAGATGGGTTGATTTTAAACTTACTTTTTTGTTCATTGAGCTCCATGAGCTGCTTGATTTGTTTGCTCAATTCGTTTCTGTCGTAGGAGAGTACGAAATTTAGTTCAAAGCCTTTTTAATTGTTATATTGTAATACTCACTCCTTCAATATAGGATCGTCACTCTGTGAGGCATGCGTCAGGGAGAGAATGCGCTCATTGGCTGTCTTCATTTGTTCACGCAAATGTTCGCAACGCTTGTTTGCATCGTCCAACAGTTGCTATTAAGAAAATTAATGAATACAATTAAGTCTTACAATTATAATAAGATACTTCTAGTCTTCAGCCCTGCTCAACTTACCGCCAAAGCCGTTTGGCCGCCTTGACCCTCACGCAATGCCTTGTTCTCCGCCTCCAGACGTTGTATTTTGTCCACCATAGCCGAAGGTTGTAGCTCCCGTGACACTGTGTTGCCTGCCAAGCTGCCAGAGTTGGTTGAAAGCTGTCCACACTTTAGCTCATCGAAGGCCTCGCGCAAATTATCACGCTCTTTGAGTAGACTATCCTTTTCGCGTTGCAGTGTCAATGTTTTGCTTTCCAAGTTCTTGTTGTCGAACTCCAGCTTGACATTTTTGCTGCTCTCATTGTCGAGTTTCGCATGAAGGTCTTGGATCTCTTTCTTAAATAGCTCAATTTGACCCTTTGTGTTGGCATAACGTTTGGCATCCTCCTCGAATTGAGCGTTCTGCTGCACATAGTCGGCGCTGCGCTCCTCAAGCATTTTCACATGCTTCTTCAAATCATTGTACTCTTCGAGCTTCTTTTTGTAAGTCTCCAGTTGGGCCTCGCATACCTTCAACTTATCTGTGGACTCACGCAGAACATCCACCTCGTCTTTAAGAGAGGTCAGCTCTGCGGTGGTTTTCTGTGAATATATAATAAATATTTGATAAAATTGCTTAATTAATGAAGTTTTATTAGGCACCCACCATTAGCTCATCTATGCGCTGCTGCATATGCAAGATATCTGCCTCCTGTTGCTGCGCCTTGATTTTCAAGTCTTCTCGCGCACCCTCCGACTGCAACAGTTCCTCCTTCACCAAATCCAATTGACGCCTAAAAGGAACAACTTTTAATATTAATATATTTTTTATATTAGTCTTTATGGACCTACCTTAGCTCGTTGTAGCGCACTGAGCCCGCCTGAATGGGACCTAGAGAGACGCCATCGTCACCAATTGTATTGAGCTCCAGGCGCGCGAATTCCTGTTGTATCTTTTGCAGCTCCTGCTGTAAATTCGTTTTCTCATCGATCAGGAGCAGCATTTTCTTTTCGGTTTCAAAACACTTTTGGGCCATAGCATCGCGTTCCTCCTGTGCCTTGGTATTGCCTTCAAGCATGTTGCTCAACGAGTTGCGTGACAAGGAGCTAACTACGCCGCCTCCTTCGGCGCTCTGGCGTGTTGACGATTCGAGCTCTTGCAGTGCACGCATTATATTTGCCTGCAGCTCCTCTTCCAGACACATTATCTCGCATATATAAGACTGTTTTTTGGCACAGTTGACGGCACAGCCCAACACCAGCTGCAGCAGGCGCTCCAATTCCGTTAGATCGCATTTCTCTGCTATGGCCTGCACATCCGGTTTAACAAAATCTTGCTGAAGCGTGTAGTTCAAAACATCGGTGTAATATTCGTAGACGCCCTCGACAACCTTTTTCAGATTGCTCATACGAAGACGCCAATTGCTGCCCACAGCGCTGCATTTGATTTTCGAGAGCCACGAATTGGTGAATGATTCAGGTGCAAATTGATTGAGGGCCTGAGCCAATGCAACTCCATCGGCCAGCTCCTCGGCATTTGCATGTGGCGCATTAAGATTAAGCGTTTTGAACCACTCTAATAGACTATAATACATTCCGTTCTGCGTGGACATCACGTACAATAAACAATTATGAACAAAATGAAACAGAAATTAGAAACTTTTCACAGAAAAAATAACACAGCTGTTGCTGCGTAAACAAAACAGCTGTACTGACGATAGCGATATGAAACATACCGATATGTTATCGGGTAATAGTGGTATTCCCGAATGTAATAAAATATCGTTTATAATTCATTATAAATCATTCAGTGTACTGTGAATATAAATTTATTATTTCCTTAATTATTCGTTATGTTAAAATCTATTGCAGCTGTTGTGCCACTATTACTATTCATGCACTGTTCCACCCATTTAAGTTTTTCATCGTGTTCTTTAATTTTATCGATTGGCGTCCAGGTTAAATCATATTCAAGTCTATAGCTGCCCTTGAAGGTTTGATCCGCCGGATGATTCCATTCCTATAATGAATTATATATACTTTACACATGTTAGCAAATGTTAGGTAGGAGTATTTACTTCTGGTGACAACATGCTAAAATAGTTCTGTCCCGTAGATCTTTGATAAAGATGATAAGTATGCCCAGGCTTCTTGGTAAAATTACAGGCAGCGCTATGTAGTGCTTGACTGTCATTGGACTCTCTCAATATATCCATTGCCTGTGCTTGCAGCAGTTTTATCTGGAACATAAACATATAACTATGGTTATTTGCTCAGATTTATTTCGAATATATCGTTCACCTGATCGAGTATAACAACTAATTTTTGACTGGTGCTATTTTTCAATTGTTTATCCGCCGATTGTATTTGCTGTGCTAGATTTATTATGTCAGTTTCATCGTGCATTGACACACGCATTGGATCCAACTGAAATTGAGGGTTACGCTCCACCAATTGAGCTATGTTTTGAATGAAACAATATTATTTTTTAAAACTATTCTTATCTAAGAAATACTGAATGCACACACACAAGCATACCAAAACCCCATTCATTTCTACGCACAACTATTTTAATACAGTTTCCTTACCTTTCTTGACCGCTGTCTCATATGTTAACTGCGTATCCATTATGAAACTTATTTTCATTACACAAACATAGAATAATGTTTATAAGGAAATTAAACAATGTCCGAAAATTGGGACGTGTTTACTACAAAATTTACGCAAACAAACAATAACATGTGTTCTATGCGATATCTATCGATAGCAATGGCATTGTAATCGATTAACGATGCGCGCTCATTTTAATATTTGAGCTTGTTTAGACACATTAACATTACACCTAATGTATATTAATGGACTGATTATTTTATTTCTTAAAGACGCTAAAACACGAAAATACAATATATTTTTTTATTTATTTATGGATTGTTTACAATTCTTTGCTTATTTTGTAATAGTAACTAGTTAAGTAAATGCATTTGCAGTGTATATGATGCTCAATGAATATAAAAATAAACGATTTGGCTAACATTTATAATTATTTAAGTTGTTCAAGTTACTATAAGTACAGAACATGGATATAGGCATTATAAAAACTAGATTGTTTACAACTATAGCCTTGCTATACATAACAACTATTATTGTATTATGTATAAAAACATTTATTGTTTGACGTCTTCCAACTTCTTTTCCTGGCAGTTTTCGTAGGTCTGTAAAAAATGTACATTAGTTCATATCACGTATAACATTCCAAGCTAAATTATTTATTTATTTACCTGCTGTGCTATTTTCAGCAATTGTTCAAACGTTGTCTTGCCCGTCTGCATTACCATGCTGTGGAACACCTTGCTCTCCGACGTTGTCAAGAGCTCATAAGGTGAACCAAACTCCACAACATGTCCAGCATCCAGCACCAAAACCTTATCCGAATCCATGATCGTGTGCAGCCTGTGTGCTATTGTAAGCACGGTGCAGTCCTTAAACTTATTCCTAATGGTCGCCTGTATAAGTGCATCCGTCTGAGGATCCACATTGGCGGTAGCCTCGTCCATGACCAGTATACGATTCTCGCGTAGAATAGCTCGAGCCAAGCAGACCAATTGACGTTGACCCACGCTGAAATTTGTGCCACCTTCAGAAACGTTGCTCTGCAGACCCATCGGCAGCTCGCTAATCTCTTCCTTAAGATGTACCTGCAAATGATTAGAATTGAGATAAGTGTATGTAGATAAAGCAAAGTTTTTTAGACGCACCTCCTCCAAGGCTTGCCACAGCTTGGAGTCCTCATACTGTTCGAAAGGATCCAAGTTGTAGCGTAGAGTGCCAGAGAACAGGACCGGCTCCTGAGGTATAATTGAGATTTTGCTGCGCAGATCATGTAGACCCATCTGCTCCGTGTCCCGCTCATCGATCAGTATGGAGCCATCGTTGTACGAGAGCCGGAACAAGGCGTTAATCAGTGAGGATTTACCTGCGCCAGTGCGGCCCACAATGCCCACCTTTTCGCGCGGCTCAATGACAAAATTCAATGACTTAAGTACGTAAGGTGCTTGGGGATCGGGTGCATAACGTAAGCTCAAATCGTCGGCTACAATTTGGCCGGCTGGTGGCCAACTAGCTGGCGGCTTCTTGTCTCCCATCGAGCTAAATTCTCCCTCGGCATTCAGGGCTCTGTACTCGATTACTCGCTCCACAGAAGTCATGGAGTTCTCCAATTCAGCCGACTGACGCATGCCCCATTGCACCATCCCGGTCATGGACATGGCCTGTGTAATGGCCAAGCCAATTTGTCCCGGATTCTCAGGCGGATTGACAAAATTGTTGAGTATTATAATCAAAACATAAATCACACAAAATAAGTCCAAATAATAGCCAAAGGCACGACTGGTGGAGAGGAATGTGTAGTAGCCAATGGAGTGCTTGTCCTGATAGTCATCATATTCAGCTATCAGCATTCTCTGAGCACGCATCGCTCGTATGGTGGGCAGGCCATTCAAGGTGGCACCAAAATGCGAGTACATGGGCGAGCGGGCAACTGCCTCCAGGCGCTTCACATCCCTTGATGTGCTCAGATAGAAATTGCGCAGATAGTAGAAGGAGAGCAGCATGGCCAGCGTGTTAATCAGATACCAGGGATTCGTAACGCAGAGCACCGTTATAATTCCAGCCAGGGTAAGGAATACCTGGATGCAATCCAGCATAACTGCAGGCAGCACCTCATCCACCTGACCCATGTCCATGGCAAAGCGATTCAATATGCGACCCGATGGATTCGTATTGAAGAAATACATGGCGGCACGCGTGATGCTGCGAAACATGGAATTGTGCAGCTGCGTAGACGAGTGCATGGCCATGTTAAAGAAGAGAAGCGTGCGCAATAGGGCGAATATAATCAGCGTTACATTGATAGCCGCAAAGTAGTAAATGTCCGAGGACTCTGACGAGTTGCTCTTCACCCTGCAAATAAATGTTTTTATATGAGTATCTATTAATTTAAGGCATTAACACAATTCGAATTCCGCTATGTTATTTAACAGTAACTACTAGCATTTACAGGAATGTTAACAGCCGCTACTACAGTCTGAGCTACCTTAACATCGTTCTGTTAAAAGAACATGTTAGAGCGTATAATTGTTGGTCGGTTTGTGATCATCTTATGTTAGCTTAACATATTAGAGCAACTAACAGAACAGCACTCTGTTAAAATCTAGTGTAACCAATTAATGTCGTATAAGAACTTTTATAAGAGCTGCCTTTTATGGTTTTGCTGTTCTTTCATTTTCAATTTTCATCTAACTTTCTTCTGTCTTTTGTTATATACAATTTTGCTTGTTTGTAAACGATAATGTCTTCTACCTCTCGAATGAATCAGTATTTCTAAATCATGATCTACAAATTAAAGTCTTATACAAAAGTCTTATATTTATATTTAACATAACACGCTCGTGTAAAAAGGTAATATAAGTCTAATAAGAAAGTTTAAAGTATTGCATCTTATAAGATTCGTCTTGCATGTTGTTGTTAACATATGTCTAATTGGATGCTCATAAAAAGCCTTAAAAGCTTTATCTACTCACCAGTAGGAGAGGAAGTAATCACCCCAGGAGGCCATCACTTGCGTGCCCAGGCACAGGAAGAGCACTAGTAGAAACATCAAGCAGCCACAGCCAGCAGTAAAGTATTTCTTATACATGTCCCAGCCAATTTTCTGGGATGACCGCTGTTCCTGAACTTCCTTTGGCTTCTCCTTGGTGGCCATTAACGAATCATCTGCACTGGAACCCATAGTGGAGAGACTGCTGCGACTTTCTACGCTATTTTGGCGGGAGTAGGAGGTGGAGATTTCGTTGGCATCGCCTGCGCCAGCTGAATCCTCGTCCTCCTGCTTCTCCATCTCGTTCTCCTCCGGCGGTCGCTGTGCCAGCAGCTGGGCAAAGTCCTGTCCGCTCTTGAGCATATGCTCATAGGTGCCAATGTCCAGGACACGGCCCTTGTCCATGATCACAATCAGATCGGCGTGCTCCAAGAACTGCAGCTGATGCGTCACCAGGATCACCAGCTTCCTGCGCAGAAACTCTCGCATGCACTTCTCGAAGAGATGTCGTCCCACATGTGTGTCCACAGCACTCAGCGGATCGTCGAGCAGGTAAACATCTGCCTTGCGATAGACAGCGCGTGCGAGGCTAATCCGCGCCTTTTGTCCGCCGGACAGCGAGGCGCCACGTTCCCCAACAATGGTCTTGTCGCCCTGGTCCAGCAGCTCGAAGTCGCGTTCCAGTGCGCACATCTTGACCACCGTTCGATAGCGTTGCCTGTCCAGCGGCTGGCCAAACAGTATATTATCGCGCACGCTGGCGCAGAAGAGCCACGGCTCCTGCGCGGCATAGGAGCAGCGTCCGTTCAACTTCACCTCGCCCGCCTCCGCACGCAGCTCGCCGAGTATGGCCTGAATGAGGCTGGATTTGCCGGCGCCCACAGGCCCAATGACAGCGACTAGCTGCTGCTTCTTTAGCTGCATATTGATGTCATCCAAAATGGGCTCCACATGCTCCGAATCCCAGCGTGCTCTCAGCTGCCTAATCTCAACGCCGATATCCGAATTGAGCTGCTCCTGATGGCCATTTGCCAATAGCTTCTTGCGTTCCGCCGCATTTTCCTCCTCCGGCTGCTCCTCCAACATGGCCACATCCGTCTCCTCGCGCACCATAAAGGCCGTTATCCTGCGCAAGGACACCAACAGCTCAGCCACCTGGGACATGCCGCTGGGAAAGAATTTGCTCATGGCCCGTCGCAGCACATTATAAAAGCCCGTCACACAGAAGGCCTGCACCGCGGTGAGCTGACCCCCGGCGAGCACGTAGGCCAGCAGGCTGGCGAAGATCGCCAGGCGTCCCAGCGTTATCTCAAACGACAGCAGGATGCCGCGTATGTAGTTCACCTTGCGTATAACGTTCATTTCGCTGAGCCGCGCCTTGGCGATCATCTGCTCAAAGGGCCGCTCCCAGGCGTACATCTTGATCACCTGTATGCCGGCTATGATCTCATTCATCATGCGGACACGTCGATCCGTGCGCAGTGCTGTGCGCAGGCGCAGCGTCGAGGTCAAGCGGCTGAGATACGTCTGCAGCGGCACGTAGAGCACGAGTATGGCAATGCCATAGAAGGAGGCGACTCCGATCTGCTGGTAGAGGAAATAGGAGGCGAACAATAGCTCCAGTGGTCCGAGCCACAGGAAGTGCATGTGGATCAGAGCCCGATCAAAGCGACCCAAGTCATTGGACACCAGATTCACCACTTGCCCCGTGGTTGTGCCTCCCAGCGCTGTGCGGCTCAGACGCAGGCCCTTCCGATAGATGGCGCTGCTGACGGCGACTCGCATCTTCATTGCCAAGTGCATCATGTGCATCATGAACGGATGGATCAGCAGCACGCTGAGCACAGTGCAGGCCACCAGCCCCACGCCATAGAGCTGGGCGTTGAGGCTGCTGCCGTTGCCGTGCAAAGTGAACTCGTGGATCAGCCCGGCCAGCAGAAGTGGAATGGTGCCTCTGAAACGAAAGCAATATAGTGAGATCAGCTGACTAGAAGATACCCTGTAGTCTTAAGAAGGATTATGATAACAAGATCTTCTAGTGATCTTAGCTCTTCTAGATCTATTCCTTGTCAGTAGCTCATCTCATCTATTATATCATCATATATCGATCACTCACCTCAGGCCCAACTCCAGCACTCCAATCACAATGCCCGATATGACCAATTCCCAGCCGAATACCCGAAGTACCACGCGCAACATGCTCGGCTTTTTAGCATCCTTTTGACCTTGCGCCTGGAGGAACTCAGTTTCCCAAGTCTGGTAAAGTTTCTCGCCCAATTTGTCCGCTTTATGCTCGCTGAGCACATCATAAAGATCGCTGGGTTCCAACTTCTTTTTGCGCCCCTTGAATAATATGGGTAGCGCAAAGCTGTAAAGATAAACCTTTTGGTATTTAGTGACAATGAGGCAATAAGAGTCGGCTAGCAGATACCCTACAATTTGTTGATTAGTCATTTTTATTTGATTCAGTTTTAAACTAATAAATATAAGCTAAATTTTATTTCGCAACAACAAAAATGTAGTAAATAAATATTTCATTTAAATTTAAAAATAAATTTATTTTCATTTTTTTATATATAAATTTTTTTTTATTTTATTTTATAAATATATATTTTTTAATATACTTTTGTTATTTTAAATATATTTATTGAAAGAATCAATCAAGCTTATTTTTCAATATAATTTAATTAACTAAATTTAACATAAAAAAAACATCGATCACGCACATGTTGTATGATTACAGGTGATGACAGACAATAATGATAATTATCTTATCACACAAAATAGATAGTGCACTTGACAGTTAATAAAGAGATCCAGATTGTAAAAATAACATCGCATTGTAACGATAAAACATTATGTACAATGTTAAGATACTTTCATTGAATCAGAATTACAATGCCAATTTGATTCTACTTGGAAACTCGGTGTCAACTTACCAAAACATAATAGCAGAGAGACAGCCAGCCGTCTCTCGCGGATTAGGCGCCAACTTGTCAGCTGCCATCTTTAAACAATTGCAATATCTAAGTATTTAAAAACAGAACACGATTTTCACTTTATTTACAATTGCAATTTCGTATAAGAAAATCAATTGGATTTTAAATAGAATTAATTCGACACCGATGTAAACATTCTAATTGGATACTTTTTGAACACTAGCCTCATGCGCGAAGTCGCAAGCGAACTTTACGATAATGGAAACGTTATCAAAAGTTTTAAAACGTTTTGATCCACTGTCAGCATCCAATTTACAGTTATGGATACTTATACGTAATTTCATCACAGCTAAGGACGCGCACAACACACATACAAGCGCACTGATACGCCGTCACTTATGCAATGGCGTCACAATTATCACGAAATTTTGCGCGTAAATAGTAAACCAAAATGACAACAAGAGAAACTTTCCATTCAATAAATAAAATGTTTGTGCCCAGATACCAACAAGTTCTCCGCTTGCAACTCAAAGCACAACTGAAACTAATTTGTTCTCTTGGAATTTTAATTAACAGCTGTTCTAACAGCTGATGCCGGCGCCTTTAACAGTGCTGCCATACTGATAAAAATATACAGAGCATTACATTAGAGTGGACCATGTTAACATGCGACGAGCTAAATTTCTTAAAGAGTATTATATATATATACATTTTTTAATTTTTAAAGTATTTTTCCATTATTTCATTTAAATTATTTCTTATTGTGTTCATTTTTTGATTTTAGTTCATCCCTTTTGTATAGAAAATTCAAGATAGAAATAGTTTTGGTGGTAAATTTATTTTTATAAGTACATTTGTAAGTAGTTTATAATTATATTGAAGGCACATTATTCCTTGCACTTTTACACTTAACATACATATACAATATATAATCATTATCAATTCAATATTCAAGGCATAGGCACACACATAAGTACACAAAAATGTTTATGAATATCATATTATAAACTGGAATTGGATGAATTTATTTACATTCGAAAGACCGGCCTGGATTTTATAAGGACAACATAGAATGTTGGCCTTACGACGATAATCGACGAGATTGCTGCGCTGCTTCGAATGCCTAAAAAACAAATAAAATATATATTTGAAATTTTAATGCAAATACAAGAAATTTGAAGAGATTCTGTCAAGTACCTTCTTGGCCACGTGGAACAGATTATCGTAGGTTGCTTTGCCAGTCTGCTTGACCATGTCGTGGAAGACCTTGCTCTCTGCACTGGTTAACAGTTCATAGGGTGCTCCAAACTCAACAACTTGGCCGGCATCCATGACGAGCACCTTATCCGAGTCCATGATCGTGTGCAGCCTGTGTGCTATTGTAAGCACGGTGCAGTCCTTAAACTTATTCCTAATGGTCGCCTGTATTAGTGCATCCGTCTGGGGATCCACATTGGCGGTGGCTTCGTCCATGACCAATATACGATTCTCACGTAAAATGGCACGTGCCAAGCAAACTAATTGACGTTGACCCACGCTGAAGTTGGTGCCGCCCTCCGTTATTTTACTCTGCAAGCCGCTGGAGAGTTCGGCAACGACGTCCTTTAGCTTCACTTCTTCCAAGGACGACCATAGCTTACTATCGCTATACTCATCGAAGGGATCCAAATTGTAGCGCATTGTGCCAGAGAACAACACCGGCTCCTGAGGTATAATCGATATCTTACTGCGCAAATCGTGCAGACCCATTGCTTGGGTGTCCCGTTTATCGATAAGTATGGAGCCATCGGTGTACGACAGACGGAAGAGGGCGTTAATCAAAGATGATTTGCCGGCACCTGTCCGACCCACAATGCCCACCTTCTCGCGCGCCTTAATAACAAAGTTAAGTGACTTAAGCACATTTTCCGATTTGGGATCGGGAAAGTAGCGTAGGCTAAGCTCCTCGAACGCTATCTTGCCGTGTTCGGGCCAGCTGGCAGGCGGTTTCTTGTCGGCCGGCGCTTCCAAAGCGCCCTCCGGCTCAATATCCTCGTATTCGACGACACGCTCCACAGCGGTCATTGTGTTCTCCAGCTCCGCAGACTGACGCATGCCCCACTGCACCATGCCAGTCATGCCCATGGCCTGGTTGATATGATTTAAGTCAATTAGTTAGCTTTTCAGAGCATACAACATTGATGCCGCCTACCTGCGTTATGGCCAGACCTACTTCGCCGCCATTCGCGGGGGGATAGATGAAAAAACTAAGCGTAACAATGGCGATGTAGATGACACAGAAACAGTCCAGCCAATAGCCAAAGGCACGCGACGTACTAATGAACATGTAAAAGGCTGAGCTATGCAAATTCTGATGATTATCGAATTCGGTGATCAGCACCCGCTGTGCCCCAAAGGCCCGAATGGTGGACAAGCCCGTCAGCGAGGCAGTCATGTGCGAGTAGATGGGTGAGCGAGCTGTAAAATTGATGTTAATTAGATAGAGATTCATTAACCAAATACAAATTGCAAATGATTGTTGAGGTACTGCAACCACAATAATTCACGGTGTTAACAAATTACTTACTGATGGCCTCCAAGCGTTTAATATTCCGTGACGTTTTCAGATAAAACGTGCGCAGCTGATAGAAAATGATGCCCAGCACCGCCGTGGGAACGAGAAACAAGGGATTGACAATGGCGATAACAATGACAATGCCACCAAGTGCCAAGAAGATTTGTATGACATCCATCATGACAGCCGGCAGAATCTCATCCACCTGACCCATATCCTTGGAGAAGCGATTCAATATGCGACCCGAAGGATTTGTATTGAAAAAATACATGGCAGCGCGAGTTATGCCACGAAACATTAAATTGTGCAACTTCGTGGATGCCTTCATGGCCAGATTGAAGAATAGAAATGAACGGGCCAAGGTGATCGCAATGGTGGCAATCGTAATCAGCGTGAATAGGTAGGTATCCAGCCTTTCAGCATCCACGGACCAACCCAAATCGTTGAGCCAATTGCAGAGACGAGATTCGAGAACATGTTCTGACCCAATTGCGACGGTGTCATTGGCAACGGGCGAAGCAGACGAATCGGCCATAAGGGTGCCATTGTTATTCATGCTTCTCACGTTACCCTTCTTGGCTACCCTGTGAATAAAAGGACATTAAAATAAATTGCAGCTGCACTACTTGCAGACTCACCAATAGGACAGAAAATAGTCGCCCAGGGAGGCCATCAGCTGGGAGAGCACACAGAAGCCCATCATGACAATGAAAGCAAAGATGCCGCCGCCTGCCTTAAAGTATTTGTTGTAGAGTGCCAGACCGATGCGGCCCTGCTCCTGTGACTCCTGCACATGCATTTGTGCTGCAGTTGCCTCGTCCAGACAGGAGTCGGCTAGTGATAGAAGCGACTGTTCGCTGTTGCGTCGCTTATCGCTGGCCGAGCCCGATCCGGAGCGTGAGCGCTCCTCACTGCCATGCTCATCGCGCGACGAATCCGCTAGCATTGCAGCAAAGTCTAGACCCGATTCGCGCAGCGATTCGTATGTGCCCACAGCGCTCACTTGCCCCTTATCGAGTATGACAATTTGATCGGCATGCTGCAGGAATTGCAGCTGGTGAGTGACAAGGATGACAATTCTGTCCCGCAAAAAGCCACGCATGCATTTCTCAAAGAGATGCCTCGCCACATGCGGGTCCACGGCGCTAAGTGGATCATCGAGCAAATAGATGGCCGTCTGGCGATAGACGGCGCGGGCCAAGCTGATGCGCGCCTTCTGGCCACCCGACAAGGAGGCACCTCGTTCGCCCACAATCGTCTTATCGCCATAGGGCAACAGCTCAAAGTCGCGCTCCAGAGCACAGTTCTTCACCACCTGGGCATAGCGACGCCTGTCCATGGCCTGGCCAAACAGAATATTCTGTCGCACCGTGCCAGTGAAGAGCCAGGGCTCCTGGGATGCATAGGAGAACGTGCCGTTGACACGAATCTCGCCCGACTCCGCACGCAGCTCTCCCAGTATGGCTTGAATCAAGCTGGACTTGCCAGCTCCTGTGCGTCCCACAATACCGAGCATGGTGCCTGGTTGAACACGTAAGTTAACCCCATTGAGGGTGTAATCAGGTGAACTGATGTCCCATTTGGCCTTCAATGCATTTATGGATATTTGCGCCTCGGAAAGCATGGCATTCTCATTGATGTGGGGAAGTTTTGTCGGCGTCAGTAGCTTCTCCTTGGCATCCTCTGTCTCCTGTTCCAGTTTGGAGTGGACAGTCGTCTGATTGCTGCCCGGTGAGACTAAGGGCACGTCCAAAGATTTATCCGTGACATCTGTCTCCTCGTACTGCATAAACGCTTGAACACGCTTAACTGAGATCAATGCCTCGGCCATCTGTGAGATGCCTTGCGGAAAGAAGACAGTCATGGTGGTGCGCAATATATTATAATAAGCCGTTATCACAAAGGCCACTTCGGGCGTTAGAAATGTGCCCAAGAGTACGTAGCCCACCAGGCTTAGAAAGATGGAGACGCGCGTTAGGAATATGATGAAGGACAACAGTATACCACGTATATAGGATACGTGTCGGATGGCATTGATTTCCTTTTTGCGGGCAAATGCGACCATTGTCTCGAAGGGCAATTCCCAGGCATACATCTTGATCACTTGAATGCCAGCAATGATCTCGTTCATCATCCTGACACGCTCATCTGTACGCAACGCTGTGCGCATCCTGAGCACCGACGTCTTCTTGCCCAGCCAGGCCTGCAAGGGTATGAAGAGCAGCATAAACGCCACACCAAAAACAGCAGCGATTTCAATCTGAAAAATATTTTATTACTATATTAGTGTGGAGAGATGGATTGAATTGGGAGAGCAACGCCTACCTCCAGGTACATGAGGTACGTGATGAAGAGCGTTTGCAGTGGCCCCACCCACAGGTAATGCACAAATATTGTCGCCAAGTCCAGCCGTCCCACATCGTTCGACATCAGATTCACAATATGCCCAGCTGTGGTATCCCCCAGTGCTGTCTTGCTCAGCCGCAACGACTTGCGATAAATCATGCTGCAAATGGCAACGCGCATTTTCATGCCCACGTGCATTGTGCCCAGCATATAGGGATGCATAATAATGACATTCAGGGCGCTGCACCCGACCACGCCGGCTGCATAGTAATAGGCATTATCTTTGGAATCCGTGCCGTATGTGTAGTAGGAGATCAGCTTCAGCAGGCACAGCGGTTGTACCGTGCGCAAGCCCAGCTCCAACATGAACAGCACCAGGCCCAACATGCCGAAGTGCAGGCCAAAGACACGCAGCAGAGCACGCAGCATGCTTGGCTCCTTCTTGGAGTTCAGCTGCTGCTTCTGCAGCTCCCGCTCCCAGGCATCGCACAGCTCATTGCCGAGGCTTTCTGTAAATAACGAAATACGTTTATATATGAACTTATAATGCTTTCTTTCTGGTTATCGTACACAATGATGCAATATACTGCGCCCAGAAGTATTCTCTCTTTCGCAAGTCTGTAAATAAACCTATTAAATCATTGTAGGCCGAGTCTTATCAGCCCGAAGCCTTACAAAATGTATCTCAAACAAACAATTCGCCAGTCAACGACCGATTTTACATGTTTATTTTTTAAGCCCTGATAAGTTCAGATCATCCAATGCTGGCGCTTGTTTTAAGAGCTATTCTATATGTTCCCATTCTCGCTGTCTACAGATTGACAGATTGCCAAAGAAGAGCGCCTCTGTTATAGAGTTGACTCTTGTTTGTTTTCAAAGATTTACGATATTGTAAGTTTCTTATATGTTTCTATATGTTCGCATGTCTTTGGATCACTTCAGAAAACAGTGTATTTCTTTATGGGCAATAACGCTTTTTATATATTTTATGGAGCTGTAAAAATATACATATATATATATATATATATGAAGTTTAAGTATATATGAAAATAACTGTCCGTAGAACAATTATTTGTACAAGTCTGAGCAGCAACTGTATTCTCGTATAATTAATTATCGCAAGTGTCCATTGAATAAGATTTGTTGTTAGAAATAAATGTTAACATGATAGTTATGTACGTGTATATATATATGTATATTGTATATATGCTCATATCAATCATGTGACATTATTTTATGCATAGTCTGATTGATTAGGTTGTCTATAGGGTAACTGAGTAATTGTTTTTGTTGTCATAATGTGATGAAATTTTTCAGTCACGTTCCACGCTACATAAAACTTCTTTCTAGAATCCTAGAACAATTAAATGGAATGTTTATTGCTTAGAATTATTTATAATTAATTTTAATTAATTATAATTTGTAATTAATATATAAGTAATTATTTCCATAAAATGGCTAGACGTCTAACTGATAACATTTTCATTGCAAAATAGAATCACATATATTTTGAGCATATTTATTTTGTTAATAAATATTTTTCTTAAATTTTGGTTTCGTGCAAAGTCCGTTTATTTTCAATAAAGACTTCAAGCTTTGTTCGATACGTACACTAATCGGGAAATACTATTTATTTTTCCTCATAAACTCTACTATTTATTGTGTACTCTAGCCCTATATAAACATAATGCTTTATGAGCGAGTTTATCTACTTACGCGGCGTGACTAATGGGGAAAGAATTGTATATTCTAGTTTGATTTATTTATATGAGCACAAATTACAGTTTCTTGTGTAAATAAACCATATCTCTCACAGTTTTAGAACTCATATTTATCGTTATTTTTCGCTCTTATATATAAAAACTTACCTGACTTGTGCTCCTTCAATGCTTTAAAGAGATCCTCAGTTTCCAGCACTTTCTTGCGTCCCTTCAGGAAAGTGGGCATGGTGTACCTGATAGAACCCTATGTAAATATATGTATGTATATATATATATTTCGTGAGATGACTTACCAAAAACATGCTGCCGATATAAAATTCGCATGCTCCCGCGGATTTTCCGGCAAATCTGCTGTTTTTACAGATTGCATTTTAACCGTTAAAGCTGATTAACTAGTTAAACTAGAAGGAGAAGAAAACAAATATAAAAATAGCTCTTATTGTTTAGTTTTATTGTTGTTTAGTTTTCTAATTTCAAATTACTATTGCAATTGCATTGATTGATTTTGTTTGTAAGTTATTGTTCAGCACTCTATACGTTTATGTATGTGTATAATTACAGTTGAATGGGTGCTTGCTTTAGTGTATACATTTTAATTATGCGAAAAAACAAACAAACAGACACGCGGCTTATGAAAAAAACAAACAATTTATCTGCAAAGCTGCGCCCTAACTGACGATTCGGTAGATTACATGTCTGCCTGCGTGCGTGTGTGTGTGTGTGTTAAGTTGAACGAAAAGAAACTATGCGTCTGTGTGTGTGTAAAATTTGAATATGACTTCACTCTGCGGACATTCGTACATACGTGTTCGTGTGTATAGAAGCAAGTGTAAGTGCAAGTGCAAGTGCTGCGCACTATTGGTGCCGGCTATTTAGGTAAACATTGTCACAATCTAACTAACGGTGGTTACAAATGCTATTTATATGCACAAGCATGCAGGTAAATTTTAGCAAGAAAATTTAAATACGCATACAGATGTACATAGAGGCAAGTCTATATTTATAAACATATTCATGTTCGTAGAACTGCAAATATGATAAATATACATATATATAATTTACATATATATAATCTAGTTTAGCGTAAACAATTGTTTATAAGCATAGCAGCCAAATAAGTACACAATTACATTCGCTAATCCAACTCCAACGCAAATCGCTTCGTGCCGAAAATTTCACCGACACACATATACATAGGTCCCATGTACATATTTACAGAACCATATATTTATTTTAAAAGAACACGCGGTTCTTGTCTTCTTTTCCTTCATGCCTCTATTTATATGTGTACACATGCACACATACATACATACACTCGAAATGCATGTGTGGGTGCGCTTATCTTATATCCACAATAACAGTTAACAAAAATTGCAGTTCCTTTGATTATTCAGAAATTACTATTAGCTATTGTTATGTGAGATAAAGGTCGGTTTTGCAGTTCCGCCTAAATTATCTAATCGCACAATGTAATATATACATACGTATATAATAACTGTAAACACATTGCAAATTAATTTAATTGTTCGATTCATGCGAATCAAAAAAATCACATGTACATACGTTTTTTTAAATTGGACAATGTTCAATAAAAGTCGAAAATCATTCTATTCTTTTTGTTGTTGGAAACGAAAAGCAATTAACAATGACGCAGGTTAGCACATACGCGCTACAACACAAAAAGCCGAACCGTCCGCCTGAAAGGGCAGCATGCTACTGAAAAACAGCTGGCATATTGAGCTCTTTTCAACTGAATTCGCCACAGTGTAACATGTGCATGTATATGTACATGTGCAATATGTATTTATGTATGTCAACATGCATACTTGCATATGCACGTCAAATGAATTAATCAACAAGTTTATTGGTTATTCACAATTGGAAAGCACTTGAGAACATAGTTCTGCAGTTGAGTAATTATGCCGAACTAATAATATTGAAAGCGAACGGCAATCAATTTTCTTAATTCGCTCCTATGGATTATTGACATGGGGCATACAAATGTCTGTTTTTTTCTAAAAAGAAATTTATTTGAAATATTTTATTTTCTATTTATAACTGTTTACAGTTATTTATTTGTAATGTACCTTTTCCTAGTTACTAACAAAATGTTTTTGATATACTTATTTACTGATACTATCAGATTATACATACATATATATATATATATATATATATATATATATATATATGTATATATATATTTGCTTATATTATATTGCAGCTTTTATTTATTAAATATTAAATCAATAGAAATGTTTCAACGGCATCAGTATGTCCTTGTTGAAGTAAATAAACCGCCTATTTAACTATGTATGCAAAACAAGTTGTTATTAGCAACCAGCGAAAATCCCGCCCTGTGGAATGGGCATAAAACAAGCGTTAATATACGTATATACATTTTATTCACCTACAATGGAAACACTTTGTTTATTTTGTAAGTTTTAGTTTTTATTATTCTTTTCCGTTCTTCACGTACATCAAAAATGTATGCACTCACATAATTGGAAACTTAGGCAACAAGAGCAGAGGCGGTGCTGGACTCGTATTTCCAATTGGGGGCCAACACACTCTTGGTCTTGTAGTAGCGAGCCAGGCGGTGAATTCTGGACTCGACCAGAATAAGACGGAATTTACCGTCCTTATCCTTGCGGTTGCGTTCCAAATGCTTGCGGATGGCGACAGCCTTCTTGATCATGTGGTACAAATCCTCGGGGATATCGGGCTTGAGACCCACCGATTTCATGATGCGGAGAATTTTATTGCCATTGACAAAGCGCACCTGAGCCACGCCATGAGAATCACGCAGGATTATGCCTAAAATGATTGAATATCAAATGTATATTAACATAACCTCAAACCGTAAACAAATACAATAATCATACCGATTTTCGAGGGTGTCAGGCCTTTCTTGCCGAGCTTCTTGATCTGCTCCTTAACATCCTCAGCGTTCAGCTTCAGCCATGATGGAACTGTGCGTCTGTAGGGAAGGGCTGATTGGGATATACCCTTGCTGCAAAGTAAATTGTATTTGTTAATTTAAACTGTGAATGACGACAATGAGAAGAAGAAGAGTGGCGCATATTCATTCGCAACATGTGCTTGCCATGGTGGCTTTAAGTTCAATCACTACTACAACAAGCGTATTATCTGTGGCTATAACATAGTTATAGTGTCGCCTTGTTATATCACGTTAGTTAAGCACATATTACAATAATATACGCCTATAAACAATAAAAAAATCAACTACCCAGGAGCGTGCATACGACCCATGATGTTACTAGCTTAGTTTTTTACACCGAAAAGAAAGTGGAGACTTGTAGAACAACACTCTACAAACGAACTCTACAAAACGAACGCAGAGTTGTATTTAGATATTCGCTAGTGGACAGAATTGCTCCACATATAACAGGGGAATGGCAAACAATAACAGACTCGTTACTCGTTCATTAATGTAGATAGATTGCTCACTGCAAAATTTGTTCTAAAATCAATTGTTTAAAGTAATTTTTAGAATACGTAAAATGCAGGAAGATAAATACAATGATACGCTTAATAAGCTACAAAATGAGGAGCTAGAGGTGAATATCTAATTAAAATAGTAAAGAAACAATACTAATTGCAATTTTACAGAACATAGCACCGGGCATTGAAATTTACCACCAGCTGATGGCGATTTATCTTTATCAAAACAAACTGTGTGTGCGGCTGAATAATTTAGTTTTTGTGTATTATTAATTAATTACATGCTTACAGAGCCAATGCCAAATTACTTTGGATGCGTATAGCTAACAATCTAAAGGAACAAAACAAGGAACTAGCCCAACTAAATATGTTGAATCTAGCACTGCAGCACAACAACTATGCAGATTTCTTTAAACATATTAAATACGAGTGGTCCGAGACTAATAAGCCAATCATTGATGATCTCTTGGGTAAGCACACCGAAGTAAATTATATTAAAAATTGTCTTATAGATTCATTCAATTGTAGTAAAACAACGCGAGGAGCTGTTCAGCCTTACGGCCACGGCCTACGTTTCAATATACGAGCAAAATTTAATAGAAATGGCGCAGATGACGGCGGAGGAGCTGAAAAATGCCTGCTCAGATTGGACACAAGAACAGGATGGTGATAAGCTAATTCTGCTGCCGAAAATGAAAGAGCATACGCCACGTGTTGCCAGCGATGATCAGTTGTTGAAATTAACTGAGTTTGTCTCGTTTTTAGAAAACTGAAGAAAAAATATAAATATGATTATTTTTATATTCCGGCATTTTTTCGTTGTCCAGTCTGTTAAGTGGGGGAGTAATTCTGTTTACCGGGCAAACGTCGCTGTTAACGCAAAAGTATCGAGTAGCATCGTTCTGTCTCGTTGTGTCATTTCATAGAATCAAAAAAATTTTTGCACGGAAACGACATCGCATTTTCACTGGAAAATCAATCAGAGATAATATTTTAATTGTGGACATTTTCAAATAGATTAAAATAAATACTGTGCGAAAGCATTTAATAATAACTGTTATAAGAAAAATCGGTGTTGGGCCTCTAGTGTACTTCGTGCGGAATAGTTGAAAAGAAACCGATATTTTATACTATTGTGTGAGTGAGAAAAGAAAAATGGCAGCAAGCGACAAATCTGTCGATGATTCTCTTTATCCCATTGCGGTATTAATTGACGAATTGAAAAATGAGGATGTGCAGGTTAGTTAAAACGTCTTTATTAAACAAATGCAAACTTGGTTATAAGTGTCCAATATCTAGGCACGTATAAGCATGGGTATGTACAAGTACATACATACATATCTATGCAATATAAAATGCGTCACTGTGTGAATAGCAAATCGTCTGTATTAGCGCGAATCTATATGTATTTGTGTGTGTATAGGTGCAGCTTTGCTCTTATACTCTTGAAATGCTTGTAACTTTGTCACAAGACATGTAACAGTGAAGTAGGGTTTCGGCTTTATAATATATATATATATATATATACTCGATCTACATCAACAATTTGTCAATTTTCTGATTGCCTTGTTCTACGGCAACAATTGAGACAGTTTTTTATACCCATTGTCAATATTGCCAAACTTTAGTTTTAACGTACTTACGTATCAATTGTGTTGAACCATTTGTGAATATAATTGTATTGCATGGGACGTCTCTGATAGAGTAATTAATATTCGGCACTCCGAATACAGCAATATCTTATCAATTACTTTTATTTTGTTTTTGTTTAATTAGACGCACGCTAAATTTAATAATTTGTTCACTTTGCAGTTGCGTTTGAATTCGATCAAAAAGCTATCGACTATTGCCCTTGCTTTGGGCGAGGAACGCACACGTTCCGAACTAATACCTTTTCTAACTGAAACCATATACGATGAGGATGAAGTGCTGCTTGCGTTGGCCGATCAATTGGGCAATTTCACAAGTATGGAAATAGTTAATTCAAATATGACTTGTTATTCTGATATATTAATATATATGTACATATATATTTTTCAGGCTTTGTGGGTGGGCCCGAGTATGCGATGTATTTGTTACCGCCACTGGAAAGCTTGGCTACTGTCGAGGAAACAGTTGTGCGTGACAAGGCAGTTGAATCTCTGCGTACTGTCGCTGCGGAGCACAGTGCTCTAGATTTGGAGATACATGTGGTGCCAACACTGCAGCGTTTGGTATCTGGCGATTGGTTCACCTCACGTACGTCGGCTTGTGGCCTCTTCTCCGTGTGCTATCCACGCGTCACACAGCCCGTGAAAGCCGAATTGCGTGCCAATTTTCGTAAGTTGTGCCAGGATGAAACGCCGATGGTGCGACGCGCCGCAGCTAATAAATTAGGCGAATTCGCCAAGGTCGTGGAGACAGAATATCTCAAATCGGACTTGATACCGAACTTTGTGCAGCTGGCGCAGGATGATCAGGACTCCGTGCGACTCTTAGCCGTCGAGGCGTGTGTCAGCATTGCTCAATTGCTGCCACAGGACGATGTTGAACATGTTTGTGAAACAATTGCTATTTCTTTTCATATATAATATTAATGTCATACTCTTTGCAGTTGGTTTTGCCCACGCTGCGTCAGTGTGCTAGCGATTCATCGTGGCGTGTGCGTTATATGGTTGCCGAGAAGTTTGTTGATCTTCAGAAGGCTGTGGGTCCAGAAATAACACGTGTCGATCTAGTGCCCGCTTTTCAATATCTGCTCAAGGATGCCGAGGCTGAGGTGCGCGCCGCTGTGGCCACTAAAGTCAAAGACTTTTGCGCCAGTTTGGATAAAGCCAATCAGGTGCAAATAATTTTGAGCTCCATTTTGCCATATGTGCGCGACTTGGTCAGCGATCCCAATCCACATGTCAAGTCAGCGCTAGCTTCTGTTATAATGGGTCTGAGTCCCATGCTGGGCGCTTATCAAACGGTCGAGCAATTGTTGCCACTGTTTCTTATTCAGCTGAAGGACGAATGCCCAGAAGTCCGTCTGAACATAATCTCAAATTTGGATTGCGTCAATGATGTTATTGGTATTCAGCAACTATCGCAAGTAAGTTGCAACAATGTCATGTTTTCGATTGTTTATATATGAACCAATTCATCTTCTTCACAGTCGCTTCTTCCCGCCATTGTGGAGCTTGCAGAGGATTCCAAGTGGCGTGTACGCCTAGCTATCATTGAGTATATGCCCGCACTAGCTGGTCAGCTGG